ATCTGTGCTAACCTGAGGGAGCGCCCTCCATTTCTCTACTCTGTTATAACCAGTCATTCGGCTCCTTTTCTATACTGAGAAGTCACATCTCTTTGAGCTAAAAACGTTCCTGTGATTAGATTGGAACTTTAGAAACGTTTACAAAGATAGCTAGGGTAAAATAATGCTGTTTTGGATTACTGGTAAACAAATTTATTAGTTTTTGTAATAGTCAAGTGAACCAACGAAATAAATAAAGCACAAATACCTGACTGGGAGTGTGCTAGTGCTCTAGCCAGAGCGTAGTGACGCAGAGGTGAATACTCAGGCAAGGGCGATGGTAGAGACCTTTGAATTACAGAGAAGCACATCAAATTAAATCAAGGCAGCAGGGCTAGTGGGAGCTTCATTGGTGCCCTACAGAAAGACAATGAGAAACCGGGTGGTTAGCCCGCAATGAAAGCTAAATGCAGCCTTTTTGGTGGCTTATAGAGATGTTGTTTCTGCAGTCAAAGAGCAGCACAGCCGAGAGCACCTTGATACCTGACAGGTTTCCTGAACTTCAAACCTATTTCAGTGCTCTGCCAAAGCAAATCCATAATGCTCAGGGCAGCCCTGTGCTGGGGAAGGCGGGGGCACTTGAGTGAACGCCCGCCCAAGTGTGCGCACACCTGGGCTGCGCTGCTCTCTACAGCAGGCGCACCACTTTATGCTCCATTTAGCTATTTTTCCCTAAAATACCTGCCCATTCTCCTGGGTGGGAAGTGGCGTCTCATGGTGGTTTCTATTTGCCTTTCCTGCAGACTAGTGAAGTTGGACATCGATTTTTGTGCTGGGGCTACTTCTACGACTTCTTTGGAGAAATATCCATGTGAGTCCTTTGCCAATTTTTAAACTTTTTTTGACCTATAAATGTTTCTATATGCTCCAGGTACTATAGTTTGTTGCGATATGATTTACATATTTGCGCCATTCTGTAATTTGTCACTTTCTTATCATTTTCTTTGATACACAATGGTTTTTCATTTTGATGAAATCCAGTTGAAGATTTCTCTTGTTGCTTGTGCTTCTATAAATGTGAATCCATTGTCAAGCCACAGGTCATGGCAGATTTACCCTGCTGTTTTTGCAGCTTCCCATCTGCTTCTGCAGAACAGTGTGTGATGTGTTTCCTTGCCGGACTATGATCCTGAGGGACACGTGCAGCGACCCCCATGGGAGGGAGCCCTGGCGAGGGAATCTTCGTTTGGATGTGGAGTCGTGAGCTGAGGTCACTGCTTCTGGGCACAGCGCTGGGACAGAGTGCGACATTCTGGCTGCCGCAGCGCTCCACAGTCACCCTGTCTCAGTTACTTTTTTTCTCATTGCTGGGACAAAATTCCGAGACCCAAAGGTAGTGAAGGTTTAATTAGCTCAGAGAGAGTGGAGTTTTCAGACCATGCTTGGCTGGCTCCGAGGCAGAAAAGCTCACGGCAGAGAAGCTCAGCCGTTCAGGGTGGCAGAAAGCAGCAAAGAGCAAAGGAAGGGGCAGCAAGCAAGCCTCTCTCTCCCTTACATTTGTATACAGCTTACCCACCCCAGGGCGGGCGTGGTGCTCACACCTGTGGTCCCCGCGTTGGATCAAGAATTTCTCACAAACTAGAAGCTGCCCCATGACTGCAT